TGGGTTAAAAAAAATAAAAGTTGTTTTTCTACTCGTACTTTGAGTTTGTAGTCACTTCTACGACCAGCTCTACAAATACGGTCGTTTCTCTCGTAAACGCTTAACAGTATTGAAAAATTATATAGACCGTTTTTGTGGAGCAAAAAATTTCCCAGAATACTAGGAGCTTTGCAACCTACAATTATGTTTTTCCATTGACTTATGCAGTTCAAAATAAAAAAAAAAGCAGATTTTCTAAAAATAGTCAAATTTCAACGGTGAATATCTTTTACGTTTACGGAAACATCGTTTTGGATCTTTTTTGAAGAACATGCCGTTTTCTACAAAATCCACAAAACGAAATATGTTTTCAAGTATCTGAGGACGAAATATGAATTTAGCTATCTGATAACAAAAAGAAAATAGATAACCGTTACCATTATAATTAAGAGCTCATACTTGGAGAGCCTTTCTGAGAAGTGCCTGTCAACCAATTTTTAGAGTTTTATTACCAGCCCTAATACCTTTGTATGTATGTATGCATAAAAGTATCTAGGTATGTCTATGTTCCAAACGTAGAGCCGAATCTGTTTTGTTTACTTCACTTTTGTGTCCACGCCTAAAAGGAGATCTGCCTGTACGCGCCCAACAACAGCAATACGATTATATAAATATCTACGTTTGCGTTTGTTGCTTGTGTAAATTAGGGCAATTGTACCTGTGTACTGACGGCAGTCGAAAACCGCGAAAAATATTCATAGCGAGTACTTACTTAAAAGTACGCTTGTTGGACGGGCTGCTACCCTGGTCCCTCTCGGTACATCTCATTATTCGGTACCGACACTACCAAAGCCAATTTGTACCGCCAAAGCAACACTGCCATGAAGATACTGGGTAAGAGTGTTTAAAAGTCGCAAGTACACTCACTCAGTTATTGCATTACTTGCACATATATTGGCATTGCTATTGTTGTTGCTTTCGCTGCGCTATGCAATTGTAGTCATACTCGTTTCTCCGCTTGCATGCATGTGTGATTGTGTGTGTGCACTTTCTATTTGCAGTTCTCGCCGACTTCGCACAATTGCATTATTGTCATAGAAGATGTTAGTTTGTAGGTGTGTGTGTGCGTTTGAAATGAAAGGTGAGATGAAGAGCAACTTGGATTTGTAATGTAAAATCGTCGTGTCTTCGTTGGCTGCGAGCCTGCTTACTCTCATTACGTCTTTGTACTCAGCGCTAGCATTAGAAACGCTAAACACACACACACACACAAACGAAATGTAAAAATTGCACCGCATTTCTTTTCCACACCATTTCTACACACACTCGAATTACCTGTAAACGGTAAAGAGCGTCGTGGGAACCGTTTGTTATCTGATCGATGATTACCTTTAATGAGTGGGTTAAGTGTTTAAAAATTAGATAACGGAGATATGCCCACGAGATGAACAAATGATAGTAAGTTTCTTTATGAGCTTAGCGACAGCGCAGACATGGGAGCAAAGAAGTTTTGTTCGAATGAGGAAACGTAAAAACTGAAGTAACTCTTTATTGCTGCCGCGAGCAAGTGCTTTTTATTGGTGTAAATTATTCAAAGAGAGTCGAGAACGCGTTGACGACAAACCACGTCCATGAACATCAACTGATGATCAACACGTTAATCAAATAAACGAATTCGTGCTTGAGAATCGACGATTAACAGCAAAGATCTTTCTGACATCATTGGAGTATCGGAAGGATCAGTGAAAACCATACTAAAAGATCATTTGGACTTAAGAAAAGTAAAATCACAATTGGCTCCAAAATTACTAAATTTTTCGTAAAACAATGTGGTGTTAACGTCTGTGAAACGATGCTTTCCTACTACCACGAATTCGCGAAACGTATTATTACTGCCGATTAGTCTTGGATCAATGCTTACGACCCGGAAACAGGCGATCGATGGGCCGAATATCGTAGGAAAGGTGAGCCGAACCAAGAAAAACACGTCAAAGCAGGTCAAAAATCCAGGTTATGTTGAGCATTTTCTTCGATTGTCGAGGTGTGGTGCACTCCGAATTCCTTTCGACAGGACAAACTATCGACAAGGAATACTACTTGAGTATTAAGCGTCGTTTGTGCGAAGCTTTTCGCAAAAAAGGGACGGGATTATGGATCGACAACTTTTAGTTTTTGCGCCACGATAATGCACCGTCGCATACCGCACTAATTCTTCGTGAGTTTTCTTCAAATTTTCAACCAATATCGTGCTACAACCAACGTATTCGCCTGATTTAGCTTAGTGTGACTTCTAACTATTCAGCAAACTCAAACGACCGCTCCTATAAAACGGTTTTGAGTCAATTGAAAACATTAAACATGATTCACTATGAGCATTGAAGGCTTTTCCGGAAATTGACTTTAAAAACTGTTTCGATTATTCGAATAAACGTTGGCCCAAGTGTATTTTAGCCAAGGGAGAACAAGAACTAATTTGATCGATCAGTTTGTATGGCCGTCTTATGCCTAAGGAACTAGTTCGCGTATATATTATATAATACTAACGGATTGAAGCACGGACGGATTGACCCAACTTTCCACACTGATCATTTATATACTTTGTACAGACTTCGACTTTCTTTTTTGGGAATTATAAACGCAATTTATATTTTTGAAAGAGAAATTATAGCCGATTCGGTATTCATTGATATGAACTGTCACATGTCTATAGTAATTCTAAACAAAGGCTGCTGTAACTTTCCTTCGCCATGAATTCAAGTATACTCAGTAAACGAACGAGACCGAAGTTATATCTCTCCCTGCGATTCTTGTATACAATATATATCAATTTTTAAGAATCAAATTTGATAACAAAATTCTCATTTTTGAGATTACCATCTCGATTATTCCACCAAGTCGTTATTATGTTGACAGCTCTGGTATGGGCAAAAACATGAACGAAACCATGGAAAAGTTTCACGAATCTACAAATAATCTATATTTACTTTTGTAAGAAGAGATGCAAGAGGCAAAGACGTTACAAAACATATACATATGTATGTATGTACATAATAATACATAAGAACTTTGTAATAGATATGTATGTATATTATATAAACAACATATAAATATATAAAAAAGTGGCAGCTCACTAAGGCAAACAGCGAAATTTCGCAGCACCTTATTTAAGTATGTACATATGTACTTAGCTATACAGAACTTCTGAAGCGCCGCTGTTATAATACAAACACATTTTTTTTTTTTTTTTTCAAATAAAATGCCAAACGCAGACTCATTAACAAATCATCCCACCACCTTATTTCAGGGCATTTGCATACTCAGCACCGCCTCATGTTCGCAAATATACAGACACATATACTCGTATATATTACCCCACTGTGCATTTTGAACTCGAGTTGCCGCTTTTAAAGCTGCCGTCGCTGTTTCTGGTTCACCCGTAGGCGATGTTTTTTTTTTTCTTTTGTACTTTTATCACAATTACTCGTGGGGGTCGCTTGGTGTTGTGCCTATTATGCGTTATATAACCGAGTTTATACATTTGTATGTATATATAGGATATTGAGAGTAGCTGTCGCGACACGCAGAGGTGTACGATTCTAACGCGAATTTTAACAAATTTCAGCCGTGCACTTTATGAAAAATCAACCTACTCCGAGTGCTGTCAGCCTGTTGACTCTTCGTACATCTCATTACATGATGTCACTGACGGTGATGTTGGCACACACACACACAGTTGTGTTGTGATTCATATTTGTAATTGAAATCTACTGTTGTGGTTATTATTATGGTGTTGGTATGGGAACGATATTACTTCACTTTGCTATGTTTTTAGTCTTATTTGGGGGGATTACGATTTACTGTTACATATATCAAGCCATCTTAAGCCAGTTTCCAAAAATTTAGAATAATTAGTTTGAAAGTAGAATAGTTAATTTGTATAAGCTTATCATCGTATCGTTTCAAAAATCTTAACATTACTCAAAAGTACCATAGAGCTATCTATACTCCAAGCCATTAGTAGTGGATCATAGGATAGGATTCGTTTTCATTCAAAATTTTGCAAAGTAAGTTTCTCTTTCCTTTCCTTTCCTTTCCTTTCACTTTCAATACTAACAATAGCGAAACATTTTGTTGTGTTATTGAAGCCTGCTCAGTTCGTTCAAGGTAATATTTTAGCACCTATAATTTTCTCTAATTAATTTAGTATATAGCTAAATACTTAGCTGGTTATATATCTGCTATAAAATTGGATCTTCTTTACATATTAGAAATTGAAGCAGGAAAACCTTAGCAGATATCCTATGCAGACAATGTATGTAGTTTCAGGAGTGGCTGGCAAGTTCACAGACACAATCAGTAGAGTTATCAGCTAACCTGGAGGTAAATCTCGGTACAAGGGATATGGTACTCTTTAAAAGGAGGTATAAGACCCCTTCCTGGAAACTCCCAAAGGGGTAGATTTAACTTACAGACAGATCAGAGTGAGATGGAATATCTTAGCGATATGCAGGATCGTCAATATCATGTGCAACGGAGCAGAAGGATAACACGCAAGTTTTTACACACACGGCCTCGAAAAGACTGTAGGACGATTGTTGCCCGAGTCACAGGGCACTGGCATTACATGAGAGCCATATGGACATTATTAACGTTGACACTAGTGCTGAGAAGTAAGCATGACAGAGGCAAAGAAACACCTCATCCGCTTATGTCCAGTCTTATCTAGAGCTCGGCTTAGATATCTAGAAACTTCGCAGTTCTTGAAAGCCTCTTTTAAATTCGGCAAAAAACATTAACGACGTAAACTTGCGCTGCTAAATAATTCTCCATCTGGCATAACAAAAGGCCTGTAAATCTATGTATGTACACCATTTTGGTTTTATTTAAAAAAAAAACCATTTTGTAGCGCTCTTCTTGAAAACCTTTATACATATACATATATTAATTCGAAGAAAAATACGTTGTTTAGCTTTGCTAAAATTTGATTTATTTTTAAAAATATGCCAAGTGAAAGAATAAACTGAACACAATGCACACATAAAGAAAATTTATTTTATATCAACTTAATTTTTAAATCGAAGTAAGTCATACATTTGATTCCAAAATCGAGTCTTTACTATTTGCTGTAAGCTCACAACTTTGCTATAGTCTTCAAAAATAATTTTATCAGTCGTAATCAAATTCTTTTCTCCCTCTAGTATTGCACAAAAACTTCAAAATCACTAAAAACACGTTTTCGTTAAGTAAAATGATATTCCATTTGTAAATGTAACTTTAAGCCCACAATTGTTGAAACCAAATGCATATTTCACTGCTACATTTTTCTCTGCAATGTTGTGGCGCTCTGAAAAAAAAAAGTTTTTAATATATAATACATGCTATATATAATAAATAAATTTTCCCAGTTTTGTTATTCACCTACGTTGCAACGAATCAGGAGCGTCTGTTACACATAGCATGAAAACCATTTTATGCCGACGGCAAAACTGTAACCAGCATTGACTCCTCCAAAAAGCAATTCCTCAAAACGTTGACATTTTTGGTTTTTGATAACTTATATTATGCTCCTTTATAGCTGTAGTTTGAATACTTGGATCGGCAAGCCTACACAATGAATGCCCAACTAAGAGCGAACTTTTCCAAAACATGCTCAGTATTTATTTTCTCTCCCAACGGCTTGCACAAGAGTTCTTACCGCTTCAACCGTAAAAATGCGACTGGCAATGCATTGCCGCCAATGTCGACCGACGAGCCCACAAAGTCGCATCCCATTGCTTTGTTTTTGAACAGCCGGCCTGGGGGTTGCTTGACTTTCGTTGTGCAACAGGCGCTGTGTGTGAAGAGCAGCAATAACAATAACACAAGATAGGCAGATGTAAAGTGAAATTTGTTAACAGCGCAATACTAACGGGCTGCGCTCAGGAAGAGGAATATGGGCAAATGCACTTGTTCGCAACGCACAGTGTTCAAGTTAAGTAAAAAAATTAGATAAAAAGAAAATGTGTAAAAATCATATTAAGAAAGTATTTTTAGAGAGAAAAAAAATAAAAATTCGGTATCTTTTTTTTTTACTAATTTGATAAGTGTTTTATACAAAAGGCAGTTTCAGTTTGTCGAAAAAAATTAAGTTCCATTAAATTAATAAAAAACAATAACAAATTTGTTGCTATAACTAAAGTAAATACAAAACTTCCGATTGGAGCTCGGAGCTTTCAATTTTTTATACGTTTTGCGCTAGCTTAAAATTTTGAAATTCTAGGCCACTTTGTTTCCTACATTAAACCAAATGTTGATATAATTTTATATATGATATTTTTTCAATATTTTTTTAAATAATTTTATTATTTTTTAATAATTTTTTTTAATGCCATTTGAAAAGTCACACCCTGCGCAAAAACTCAATTCCACCCATGGGCGTATTTTTCAAATGTATACAAACAACAATTTTAGACATATGTTTATGCTTTTGTATAGATTAGAACCAATATGGCAAATATATAGTATAATAACTCCTGCATTGTTGTTTCTGTAGATTTTTTCGCCGAGCTGCATTTGCGCTTCGACTGCAGTGCTCAGCATACGCTGGCATACATACCAACATGCATTGGGCGGAGGCAGACGTCGCTCAAGTGCATTGCAAAAATAACAACATAAAGCAAATCGAGTGGACGGTGTAAAATCGGCCTACTGCAATCGTTGTGCGCCTGTTACCACTCCGTACATGTTGTTACTCGATGCTGACGTTGGTCCGTCGAACACTTTCAGCTGTGTAACACAACAAACATCATCATCATCATCATCAACCAACCATCCATCCATGCAACCGCTCAACCAACAACGTTCAGTGAACCTTGCGAATCGGAAAAACTGGTTTATGCCAGCCGTTCAACGTTAAGAAAATTTTTGCTGCGCTTGCTCTTTTGCTGGACAACATGGCAAGCGGCATTAGGCTTTGTGTGCAAATCTAATTTGATACGGAATATAAAGCGTGTTGTTGCACTTTTTTGCATTCCGCTTTATGGTATACTTAGTTGTATGTGCACCTGTAGGTTTTTTTTTTTTTTTTTTGTTTTTTGTTGTGCATTATAAGAAATTTGTGTTGTTTAGCTGCTTGCATTCTATATACTATACATACATATATTACAGTGGACGAAGTGTGTAGACCATCTACTAAAGTGGCACGGAGAAGACTACACCAAAAACGATGAGGCTTGCTATATTTGCAGTTTTTTAAAAGATTCCTTTAGGTTATATATTTGGTTATTATATTGGGTAGTCGAAAAAATATTTTCGTATTTTGTCAGTAGATGTTGTTGCAGTCGTATAGCTCTAGTGCTACCAAATACATTGTGTCATACCATATAGTGTTGGAAAGGTAAGATTTTAAGCTTCTTTTCACCAAAAGAAATTAAATTTGGGTAAGTCGAAAAAACGTTACAGCTGCTGAAAAATGACAACAATGGTTCGCTCGCTTTCGTTCTAGAAATATCGAAATTTCGATTTATATCGATGAAAGTTTTAAACTGATGGAATAATGTCACTAGTGGAAAAATAGCAAAAAGAGGTCGACCAAAGTGCTGCACATTTGTTTATTTATTGGTGTAAATATTAAAAAATAATTTGAAGTTTGTTTAGAAATACGAAAAGACATTTTCGACTACCTAATATATGGGTCGGTAATGTTAGCTGCTATTCTAAAAATCCTGGAGCGCGGAAAATCAGACCGTCAACCAACATATRTATGTATGTATGTGCTATATCGTGGTTATTTTCTCTTGTTTCTACGGAGTTGACTTAAGGCAAATCCAAACCTATTGAGAACTACTTACTCAGAAAATATATATAATATAAAATATCCATACGTATGCTTATCGAACTCTCGACTGAACGCCACATTAAGCACTCTCGTCTAACACGGGCTCATGCACAATTGCATTTATAAATTCATATATACCTATATATAAAAATATATATACAAACATATACACGTAAGGTCTAAATAGCGCAATAGCATTTTCCAAAACAAATATATTAAGTTATATAGAGACGTATAGCGACGTCAGAGCGGTGGGCAATTGCAATTTCTGTCAGCTTTTGAAATTTATAGTAAAATCGCTCTATTCGCAAGTCTGAAAGCCTATTAGCACTCAGTACATCTCATTACGCGCTGTGACTTTTGAGCACGCCATAATTATGGTAAAAAGTAGTAGGTAACAAACAACAAAGCGACGTATAATGAAAATTGAATACAAAGCTGTATTGTACTTTTGGAGTTATATATGTATATGTATATGTATATATACTCATTTAAAGACATACATTGCTCTCCAAGTTTTCATTATGATTTTCACCGTGAGCTATCGTTTAACCGTGACAAATTTAGATTTTTTCGTTTCAGTTCTTACGAAATTTACATCAATCTGAAATTCCAGCATTCACACGTTCTCTTCTCTCAAATAAACTGCCCATTTTTTGAAAACGCCGATATGAGATCGTTGTAGAATATATTGGATACAAACTGATCGATCAAAATCAAGGCCTGGGAAAATGCTTTATCCCACAAGTTATCTTTACGAAACTTGGTGTTTTCTGTCTGTTTGTTTTATACCTTTATTTTTCGAAGAATACAAAAATCTAAATTTTCTGTGAATATTTCAATTTTTCATTTTCTGTCCCCTAAAATGGAAGTATTTTAACAAAAAAAAATTCAGTTTTTAACAATGAGTTTTCGGTACAAATCCAATCATCTTTTGTTCGCACAATAATTGCGAGTATTTATTAATTACCGTTCAATATCTTTAAAATCGTGAAATCTCTAGCAAAAAAACAACAGTTAACCTCATCTTTTTAATCACATAAGCATAAAATATGAGGGTTCTTGATCTTAATGTAGGATATATACATTAATAATAACTATAATAAGACCAATGATAGGTGAGTAGGAGGTGGAGTTGATTTCTCTTATTAAATTTGGGAGATATTGACGAATCGACCAAGCAATTGGTATATATGTATATTATATATTTTTCTTTTAAAGATTTGGAGATTGCCAATTAAAATTGCTCCGCTAAGATCTTTGGATATTGAAGGTTGCTAAAATCTCCAGATTTTCTAAAATATTCAAGAATTCATTAACAACAATCGTTAAGAAACTCTTTCCGCTCACAATTTCACGATATCTGATATTTATTCAGAATGAATATTACAAGGGTATATAGCAGACAGGGCATAATGAACAGATTAAAAAACGGAAAGCAACCAAATCCAAATCCAACACAGCACAACAACAATAATACTTATGCCAAAAATGTCAACGACAGTTTTTACAAAGTCCCGTGCAAAACAACAACACTAATAGGCACTATATCGCTGAAAATAAATATTTTGTTGGTTTATGGAGAACACTGTATAAGTAGGCAGCTGTTAGCGCCGTTGCAGGAGAAGGGGTAAAGAGTATGTAAATGAGCTGCTAGCGTACGGAGGTGATGGCGACATGCACGAAACGCTCAGGAGTGGGCCACAGTTGTGCTGTCAGTCATGGAAACGCGCTGTCATTTCAAATTTTGCACAGTGGTTGGACATGCAACAAATCACCAGCAATATTGACGGCATAAACCTCAATGATCTATTCAAATGCTTTATTTATGCGCACGACAATAGACTTCTGTGCGTTGTTATGGTCGCTTTATCAGTGGAGAATGTCAACGAACTTTCGCAATGGCAGCGCTACAATCACACAAACACATTCATAAGCAGCTGCGGTGCGGGCAGTGTAAGTGGATGGTGGTGCGCAATTGAAACGCGACTGTTTAAGCAAAAATCAACGTTCGCCAAAAGTCTGTCAGCCTGTTCCCGCTCGGTACATCGCTTTACTCTGTGTCGCATCTAAGCGCTGCCGCCGACGACACATAGAAGTCAAACGCGATAAGCGGCAAACGCTTTACGCGGCTGTGAGATCGGTGATAATGACTGAATGAATCGGCGGGAAAACCAATTGAAAATCTACAATTCAGGCGAAATACTTATCGACGAGCGCTGAAAACACGCAATACAATTGCAGTATTGGTATGTGGTTGCCGGCAAGGTCGCCAGTGGTGTAAATATTGCATTTTTTGTTCGTAAGACTGCTAGTGCGCTACACAAACAACAGTTCGCTGAGCGTTTGATTTTTATTGTGCATTGGTAGGTGCAGGGTAACCACACCATAAATTGGAGAGTTCCCGCAACAGACTGTTTCGCATTACATGTGTACTATATGTATGTGCTCTTCATGGTAGTTCAGGGATTAGATAATGCTTCCAAAGATTTTAAACCATTTTTTATATATATATATTAGCTTTCTGATGCTTTCTATAATCTAAAATATTCGCACCACACAGTTAACTGAGAATGTATTTTAGAAGCAACACACTTAAGCTCTATAATGGACCAATGCTGTCTTTAGTAGCGAATCTTTAAACTAAATATGCATTCGTATTTATTTATATGTAAAAATGTATGTTTATGTTTTCTATTTTCCAATTTTTCGTCGCAGTTTCCGTCCATCTAACCACTAGCAATAGACTCGTACTCATGCATGCTTCACCACTGCAATTACACGATTACTCTGTGGTAGCGAGAGGTGGTGAGAAGGGGGCGTAATTGCTATTGCAATGCGAATTGTCGGGTACTTGCTGTAAAATCGACCTACACCAGTTTGCTGTTAGCCTATACCCATTCAATACAACTTGTTACTCGATGCCGACGCCAAAAGAAGTCGCATTGAATGAAATGCCATCATCTCATATGC